TCATATGAATATAAGTTTTCATTTTTGGGGGGCTAAAACCAAGGAGTAGGGTTGCTGGATGATATGGTTGGTGTGTGTTTATAAGAAACTACCAAACTTTTCTGCCAGCAGGATATGTGAATTTCAGCTATTGTGCATCTCTACCAGGGCTTGGGATGTCAGAGGTTTTTTTCCTCCCCTTTTAATTTTTAAAGTCATTCGAATGTGTAATGGTAGCTTACTGTGGTTTCAATTTGATTAATTTTAATTTGTGGATTAATTTTTGATATGAGGCATCTTTTCATGTGTTTATTTGCCATCTATGTATCTTCTTTGCTGAAGATTCTTTTGCCCCTCCTTTAAAAAATTAATTCTCTTAATTTTTTTTATTTATTTTTGAGTGCTCTTTATATATTTTAGATCCTAGTCCTTTATTAGATGTGTTCTGAATTTTTTTTCTCATCCTGTGGCTTATCTTTTAATTTTCTTACAGTAGTGATCAAAGAAGCTAAGTTTTAATAAAGTCCAGTGTATCAGTGTTTTCTTTTATGGGTTGTGCTTTTGTTGTCATATCTAAAACACCTTTGCTAACATAAGGTCACAAATATTTCCTCCTATATGTTTCTTTGAGATGTTTTATAGTTTTAGGTTTCAAACTTAGGTCCATGATCTATTTTGAGTTAATTTTTTTATATGGTGCGATGTAAGGACTGAAACCTTCCCCTTCCTTTTTTTGGATATAGATATCCAACTCTTCTAGCACCAATTTTTCCAGCACCATTTGTTGAGTGCCAATTTATCTTTATTTTGTTTTATTTTTTTGAGAGAGGGTCTTGCTCTGGTGCAGGGCAGTGGCGCAATCTCGGCTGGAATGCAGTGGCGCGATCTTGGCTCATTGCAGCTTCGACCTCCTAGGCTCAAGCGATCCTCCCACCTCAGCCTCCTGAGTAGCTGGAATCACAGACACCGTGCCACCACACTTGGCTAATTTTTGTATTTTTTGTAGGGACAAGGTTTCACCAATTTATCTTTAAAGCCCGTTTTGCCATGTCTATTAATCAGGTAAAGCAAGGAACACAGCAGAACAGCTAAGAATACAGCGTGAGCTATGAGCAGACAGGACAATAAAAGGAGGAAAAACTGTGGGGACCAATTTCTATAGCAAACAAATTATTTTTCAGCGGATGAATCTGGAGGCATTTGACCAATCACTTAGTCCACTAAGTTTCCTACGTCTGCATTTGGAAGCATCAGTGCAGACCTACTCCTAAGAAGAGATATCACTGAGGACCTTTACTTCCACCTCTCTTTGTTATGACTTCAGCTCATTTACAGAGCAGGCAGCTTCTCACCAAGACCACTGACTAGCTGTGTTCCTATTTCCAAAGAGGATTCTGCCCAGGCTTTCTCTATTTGGAGAAGTATTTACATGTATTTTAATTGAGTACTAGTTAAAATACTTAGTTATGCTTGTTCTCACTGAAATTCGCTATTGGTAATGCAAGATAAAGGAGTTGTTGCAAACACTGAAAGGTGACATTCACACTATCTCTCTAACGAGCTCTCTCTCTAATGGCTTCTTTTCAATATAAAAAAGTCTCTGCTAAATAACTATAATGAGAAACTGATCTTAGATAACTGCTTTCAAAAATGCTAATGCCAAATGCCCTTTGCTTTTCACAACACAATTTTGTTAATTTAGGCCTCTACTAGAAACTTAAGACAAGATGGTTTAGATTGTATACATGAGATCCCATTTCCCCAATTTTTAAAAACATATGTCCTTTCCCTATATAATAGTAAATCTTCCCACATCATAAAACTTTCTTCTCAAGCTTTTAGTCTTTTATTAAGAAGGCAAATCCCTTTCCTAAAGTTATCTTTACACTGAATGTAATGGGTACCACTTAAAACAGTACTCTCCTAGCAGGAAATGTGGCCTAGTCCTGGGACTGGGAAACAACAGTGGCCTCCTGCTCATCCAGTCTGCATCACTGCATGATTACAAGTCTAAAAAAGGTCATTTGTATTTCTTGGTACATTATCAGTAAACATTAGCAAATTAATAAATGTGAAATGTCCAGTGGATAATAAAGATAACTATTTTTCTTTAATGCATATTTAAGCTTGGTATACTTGCAATCTTTTATCTGTGAATGATCTGCATTAACCATGTTCATAATGTTAAAGGAAATAAGTAAGTTCTCGATTGACAATTATTAACCTAAAAGTAGAGATCCAATAATCTCAAAGAATTTCACAAAGAAGAGATAATATCAGACGTAGCTGGCATATTGGAAACAGTATGACTTGGGAGTTAAAACTTTCCTGTACTTGAATCTGGGTTCTGCCATGGATAAATTATGAAACATGTCTGGCCGTCATGTTTCTTATGTGTAAAATAAAAGTTAAAATAAATCAAGTGCCAGCCAGGCATGGTGGCTCACATCTGTAATCCCAGCACTTTGGGAGGCCAAGGCGGACGGATCACGAGGTCAGGAGATAAAGACCTTCCTGGCTAACAACGTGAAACCCCGTCTCTACAAAAAAAAAAAAAAAAAAAAAAAAAGAAATTAGGCGGGCGTGGTGGCAGGTGCCTGTAGTCCCAGCTACTCGAGGCTGAGGCAGGAGAATGGCATGAACCGGGAGGTGGAGCTTTCAGTGAGCCAAGATTGCGCCACTGCACTCCAGCCTGGGCAACAGAGCAAGACTCTGTCTCAAAAAAAACAAAAAACAAAAAACAAAAAACAAAAAACAACAACAAAAAAATCAAGTGCCTTGCTTAATGCCTGACAGGTAAGAGGCACTTATTATCAGCACCCATATGAGAATTCTGTTCAATAGCATGATAAACAAAAGCAGTGGTCCAACAACTATTGGCTACTTTGCTTGCCTGAGTGCAAGATTCATTCAGTTTGACTAGTTTGTACTTAATAGACTATATGCTAACAGCAATGACATTACTGCACCTCTATAATTCATTAATTCATTCATTTACTCAGAAATAGTTACTGAACAACTAGTATGTGCCAGGCAGGGTTCTGAGCTCTGGAGCTATAGTGGAATGATGTGCCTGAGAGATATTGATATACAGTGAGCTTGTAGGGTTGCATATGGAGAGCTGGTATCCTTACATTGATATTTATAGATAACATTCAACTATGTAAGAATAATGTGGTGATGAAATACCAATTCTAAAAAGAAACAGAAATTTTCAGAAGTATATATTAAAATATAAATCATTCACATTAAAAATATAAATTGAAGAAATGAGCTATTGTTCAAGGGAACAGTAGGAAATAACTGCATACATCTGAAAGTGCCAATTGAACAGATTGAGAAGTGAGAGAGATTGGCAATAAGACTTATGCAAAACATGAAATTTTCTAAAAAAAAAAAAGAAGGGGGAGACCAGATTGCAGATTATCTAGATGACGCTTTTAAGCGTAGGTATATTACATCAGCAACTTTCTAAAATAAAGTACGTTAAAAGTATTTCTTAGAGACAGAAAATATAGCTCTAAAATACAAGAAAATGTGTGACTGACAGTAAAGTCCAAAAGAAAAGTGACAAAAAAACGAGATGAGGGGAGGAGAACCCCATATTTTATGATTCTGTTTATATGAAATGTCTAGAATAGGCAAACCTATGGAGATATAAAGTAGATTTATGTTTGCCTTGGGCTAGCTGGGGGGAATGGGGAAATCAGGAAAAATCAGGGAAGATGCTAAAAGGTATAGGATTCTCTATGAGGTAATAAAAATACTCTTAAATTGATTGTAGTGATGATTGCACAACTTTGTGAATGTACTAATATACATTATATATATTATTTTTTTTCACCTTAAATGATGAATGAGTTGCATAGGATATGAATTATATTTCAATTAAGCTATTTAAAAAAAGAGGATTAAGGAATAGTGAATTCCCTCACAATGTGTGGACCTTATTTGAATTCTGATTAAAATAAATAAGCTGTAAAAACAAAATAAAATATATTTATCAGACAGCTGGAAAAACTTGGGAGTGAATGAAACAGGGTTAAAAATGTATTTGGCGCCATTGGTTTTATTGATGTAATTCAATAGTACACTAGAGAGGCTGTTCTGTAAAGTGGTTTATTGTCATGTACTATAACCATGTTGGGATTAAAATCTCCTTAAATATGTGTAAAATGTACTAAATCCCATCAAATTCCCATATGTGAACATTCTACTTATACATTTCTCATTTGGACACTCAGATATCTGTAATATAGCTTAAAATAATGATGTTTTCTTTTGGGAGGCCCAGGTAGGAGGATTTTTTGATCCCTGGAGTTCAAGATTAGTGTGTAAAACATAGTGAGATCCTATCTTACAAAAAAAAATTTTTTTAAAAAAATTAACTTGGCATGGTGGCATTTGCCTATAACCCCAGCTACTCAAGAGGCTGAGGTGGGAGGACTGCTTGAGCCCAGGAGTTTGAGGCTTTAGTGAGCTATGATTCCACCACTTCACTCCAGTCTGAGCAACAGAGTGAAACACTGTCTCCAAAACAAAACAAAAAAAGATGTTTTCTATTTCAGAATGTTTATACCCTAAGGTAGGTTTCACAATATAAACATCCCACATATAAATATGTTCTAAATAAATTTTTTCTGTTTTGAGTGTTTTTATAAGTAAAAAAGTGTTCAAATTTAGTCAGTAGACAAAACTAAGAAATAGGCATTTATTTTAAGCACTTTAGAATACATTATATTAGTCAACAGATGCTCATCTGATTGCCTTCTCCTAAGGGAGCAAACATAACTGAATTACCATTGCTTTATTAGTCCTCATGAAAGGAAAATCCACTCTACAATAAGGAATGCTGTCAAGACAACAGTAAAATGTTCTCCTTTTCACTTAAAATTTTAAACTTGTATTTATAGATGTTAAGTGGCAACTGGTAATGTTATAGGAAAGAACAGGACAAAACAAAACTATGGAATATGTTAACTTACTGATGACTGCTCAAGCAAAAGCAAAATCTCTCTTACCATCCTGTTGATCCGCACAAAGTCTTCAGGTTTTTTTGCCCAAGGGGGAAGATCAACATCATTTACCACTACTTCATCTTCTCTGACTCCAAGATTATATCCATTACTGTTGACAAACATCTCTGGTAGGTAGTAGAACTCTGGAATTAGTTCCTATCAGGAATAAAAATGAAGCATATTCAACAAACCACTTTATAAAAATCAGTTGAGTAAAACTATTAACTTATAACTTATTAACTACAAATGAAATAATTTCTTAAAACCAATATTTTATGAATTTATTCTATTATATTCTTCATTTAATTTTATTTAAAGATCTGAGAAGATAAAGCATTTCTTGTGAACAATTCACTTGAAAATTTATGTTTATGATAGATGATATTTTAAAATGTTACCCATTTTCAATTTTATCCTCCCATAAATTAATGAAGAGAAATGAGTATTCAAATTAACAACAGTTCACAACAGCATTAGAAAACAAATATGTAAAGCTATATAAACAAGTCTATGTTGTGTAAAATCTTTGTCTGAAAATTAATGAACTATCCAAATTAGAAACGAATTGCCAGTATTTGTAACAGATCACATATTTTCTACTTTTCTTTTTAATCTATACTGACAATTACAATATGTGATTTTTTATAAAGAGATTCATAGTTTTTTTGACTTGATAAACTAATTTATTTTTATATCAATCACTGAACACAATAAAAGAGATGATACACAATATGATAATCAGTTTTAAATATTTAATGCATGCCATAGAAATGACAGGTCCTCAATAAATTGGATGCAAAGACAACTTGTGTTACTTGTATGTAAATGTAACATAAACAACTGGATTCAAGGCGAACTTGTGTGTGATGTACAGTGTCTAATTTGAGGTTTATGTTACTTTAGAATAAATCTGATATAGAAATGAACTGATTTTAATACCCTAAAAGTTTTTATTTGTTGCTGTTTTTTAAAAAGTAATTGTGAGAAAATTAAAATAAACTACTGTAGTTTTTATGTGTACCATCTTGATCATCTTTTTTCAAATATCAAGATAGGGTTGTGAGGCTACACATTTATTTGTGTAATAAGATCAACATTGATGGCATGACACCTGAAACTTAAATCTGTAGTCTTTTCTAGGGATGCATAGAAAAAAATTAAAACCACCACATACTGAGGTCTTCAAATAAACTGGATCCCTAACTTTCTAGAAAAAGCATATATAAAATCTTTCTCTTCATGAGTTCTCCCACTAAAACTAATGTATCTGTTTTAAGTGGGTGTTCATTTTAGTAATGCTCTGTGTGAAACTGACCATTACTCTTATGATGATCACTGTGAACCATAAGAAAAATATAAATGTTCATTTTCTCCAGCATTACGGGTACATCAACAGGTCAATATAAACAATTTTTCTGGATAAATGGGGCTTTGCTTTTCAAGAATCACAGTTTTCCTCTATTTAAATAGAAATCTTTCTAAAATCCTTTACATATTTCTCTGACATTTACTTATGCATATAGTAAAGATTTTTAGTACCAGAAACTGTGATGGGTACTCAGGAAACAAAAAATGAACAAGACATGGCCTTACTGTTAAGTAATTCATAGTCTGGCCTATGGGGCAGATGTAGAACCAGATGGTTATAATACACAACAGCAGCTGTGGAAGAAGGGAGCAGGGAGGAAAGAGCAGGGGATTCTGGGCAAGTCAGGAGAGACTTCAATGGAGATGGGACATTGGAGTTGGAGCATGGCTAAGATGAAAACAAAAAGAGGGGGTGGGGCACCCTCAGGGAGTTCTATGGAGTGGTGATGAACACAAGAGGAGAATAGGGTATATTGTGGGTAGATCAAGACAAGAGAGAGATGAGATGGTAGGAGGTATATGACGCCAGATGATGAGAAAAGGTTTATGAAGGACAGGCTGTTTGGATTTTGTCTTACTGGTTTAGAAATTTTAAAAAAGAGTTTTTAACACAGTCAAATTTGTTTTATAGCAAGATACTGGGTGACAAAGTAAACAAGAGATTGGAGAATGGGGAGATGTGGTATGTATGCATGTGTAGGGAGAAGAAAGAGAGAAGGGCAACTGCTAAGTGTGGAGAAAAAGGGGGCCTACTGTGGAACTTAATCAAAGAGGGGAAATCTGCAACAGAGCCAAAGAGAGGGAATTAGATGGCTCACACTAAGAGCCAAATGTGTATCAGCAATGAACTATGTACAAGACCTCAAGGTCACAATGAAAAAGGAAAAGAGAATTCTAGTGGAATTAATACAAATTAATATAATTTTTCAGTGACTCCAATATTAACGGGGAAATGGAGAAGAGGCTGAAAGAAAAACCATACGGCAGAAAACACATGTTTATTTGCCAAAAATCATACAGTTTAATTGAGGGATAAGACAGGCTAAAGGGCGCTTCAGCAGTGACCGTTCTATCAGCAATGACTATCATGAGTTTGATTTCTAGGCGGGGAAAACATGACAGTGTTTATCAGTCACGGAAGGGGCAGTTTGGTATGATCGCTGACTGGCGAGTAAAGGTAAAGGATCACTACTGTTCTCATGTATTGGCACTCAATCAGAAATGTGTATTCTTAAGACTTCAATGTATTAACATAAAATATATATGAGAGTTTCTTCTGCTCTTACTCTCACTGTTTGGGAAAACATGAGGAATTAGTAAAAGGTGCAGAGAAAGCAAAGATTATTGCTATTTGCATATGACCTGGTCTTCATGTGACACAATAGCAATAACACCCTAAAGGGTCCAAAGTGGGAAGGAACGTAAGCTTGTGCAGCTGCTCAGTTGGGAGCGTGATTTATATGTACTAGACTCACATAAATCAGGTATTTCCCTTACTGCCTTTCATCAGTTAGTTGTGCTCATGTCCTATCTCTATAACGAGGCTACAGAAGCTTCCTTGAGGGCAGAGAGGAACATATATATCTACATGTATATAGCAAAATATATTTAGTTTTATTTAAACAACTCAAATAGTCTTAATTTATCTTATACCACCTTGGCACTCTATAATGTTTTTCATATATTATTTCCCATTCTTTCCTGTATAAAATATGTGGTCATTATTAACTTACCACTACAATGCGATTTCACTGAAAGTCATTAAATTAGATTCACAAAGGCGCAAGAAACATAGGATGTCATATTTATTAATGTGAATAAAATGTGGGAAAATGCAATTTTAGTATGAATAAAATCTGGGCAAATGAAAAGTTCTGAGCCTATTTTGTGAGGTTTACATTTTGTTGGATCCTTTGTAGCTCTCGGTGCTATACTTTGCAAGCAGCAGGTGCTCGTTAAATATTAAACTATTACAGATATTGGATGAAGTTACTTTAATAAGACTAGAAATCTTCTGGGGAATATGCAGATGGTTGGAAAAATGCCTCAAGATGGGGAAAGAGTCAATGAAGAACTTTATTAAATAAAAGGAAAAGGATATCAACCCTGACATGGAATCTGCCTTTTAAGGGGAAACTTTTCTGTTTAAAAACTGTTATCTTGTTTATTTTCCAGTTATATTTAAAAGGCTCAGAAGTATAAAATAGCTCAATTTAAATACAGAAAAAGTTGATTTTAAATTTGCCATCAGAATTGTTCTCAAACTACAGAAGTGGCAGAAGACTAATTTCATTTTCATTTAGGCACTAACAGCTGGCCTCCACCAAAGAACAAGGCAGGCCTAGAAAGATCTGTCTTGATGGTTCTTTAGAAGGGCAGGAGGAAGAATACTCCAGTCAGAACATTCAAGGAGGCCCTAACTGGGGCTAGTCATAGAAAGAAGGAGAGTTACCAGGGCCTACGGGACAACCTCCTAAGTAAGGATTTTTTTTTTTTTGGCTCCATTCTTATCAGGCCACCCAAAATGTGGTCATAAATTAGGGCATTAACTAAGAGGTTGATGTAAGATGTTAGAGGCTTGATGTTTGAAGGGACAAAGAAACTCTCCCAGATTTCCCATAATGGAAACAACCACTAAACAGAAATGTTTTAAACACAGACAGAAACTCCTGAAGCACAACTTATTTGCAGAGCCCCTGGAGGTTTCAAAACACCAGAGCTATCAGTGGCTAAAGCTCTCTGAACCTGAAGTCCAGAGTTGGGGATAGTTTGGAGTTTTCTGAAGGGGATAGAAGAGGAAGTGAAATTACAAGTCTAGGAAGTCTAGGGAGAAGTAGCTAAAGCAGCAGAGGGGGGAATTTTTTTTTTTTTTTCTCAGTTTTATTGTTTTACAATCTTGTTTCAAATAGCAATTTTTACTTAAAGTTAGTATGTAAACACAAGACGTTAGCATAATTTATATTCACAATTCCATTATTGAAAAGATTTGTTGTTTTTAAAAATATAAACCAAAGAATATGAGGGTTTCATCTCTGGGATTCAACTGGTTATGTGCAAGAAGATGACAATTACTACATTTGTGCTCCGAGGCCAGGAATCACCTTAAATGTTACCTGTGGTCATTCTGTTCTAAAACAGCAAGTAACATTTATTTTGGTAACTTTCTGTGTCTTGGCACTGTTCTAAGTGCTTTACACATATTTTCTTAATCTTCACAACAAGTTTGTGAAGTAGGTATTCTCATTATTCCCACTTTATAGACATGAACACTGAGGTAAAGATCGGGTGGGTAATTTGCTAATGGCTGCACTGCAAATAGGTGGTAAAGCTAAAAATCAAACCCAGATACTTTAAATCCAGGTTTCCTGCTCTTACATTCTGTATTCTGCCTTTTAAAGTAACAGTCCAGTCCTTTTTTTTTTTTTTTTTTTTTTTTTTAAGATGAAGTCTCACTCTGTCGCCCAGGCTGGAGTGCAGTGGCATGATCTCAGCTCACTGCAATCCCACCTCCCAGGTTCAAGCGATTCTTCTGTCTCAGCCTCCCGAGTAGCTGGGACTACAGGCGTGTGTCACCACACCAGGCTAATTTTTGTATTTTTAGTGGAGATGGGGTTTCACCATATTGGCCAGGCTGGTCTCGAACTCTCTACTTCGTGATCTGCCTGCTTCGGCCTCCCAAAGTGCTGGGATTACAGGAGTGAGCCACTGTGCCCGGCCACAACCCAGTCATTCATACGAGTTTACTCTGTTTTAATTTTCTGCAGAGCAATGATAATTTTCTCTATTTA